TAGTGTGCCGGCAGCCTCTGGCCCTCTCCCCTCCCTTAGTGTGCCGGCAGCCTCTGGCCCTCTCCCCTCCCTTAGTGTGCCGGCAGCCTCTGGCCCTCTCCCCTCCCTTAGTGTGCCGGCAGCCTCTGGCCCTCTCCCCTCCCTTAGTGTGCCGGCAGCCTCCTGGCCCTCTCCTCTCACCTAGTGTGCCGGCAGTCTCATGGTAATATTTATGTCCCCTTGGAGATATGGGGGGGGGGGCGCTTATATCTATTATATTGACCACCACAATGAGAAAGTTAATTCTGAAAGGCAACGTATACACTATAGAGCTTCTATTGAACTCTTTTCTTGTCTTTTCAGAAGCCATTCCCTCCTAATAGATGCAATTTAATCCCTATCATTGCGGCTTTTCCCGAGCGGCGACATATTGTGGAGAGTTGCTTGTCTCCAGCACAGTGTAGACCCATCTGGGGTCAGCTTAACCTCACAGTAAAAATGGAGACGGGAGCGAAATAATGAACGGTTGCCGACTGTACCGCGCGCCTTTCAAATTACCAACATCACAGCCGCCCCGCTAGGAAGGACATCAATTATCGCCTCTCAGAGTTTTAATGCGCACCTCTCTGGCCATTTTGTCTTGCAGGAAAAAAAGACCTCGTGTGGATGATGCTGGAGGCCGGAGCCGACACGGATGCCATCAACTCTGTGGGGAGGACAGCGGCGCAAATGGCGGCTTTTGTAGGTAAACCCGTAAATCATTTGTTTCTGGTGGCAGGGAAGGGTTGGAGGGGTTGAGGTCTCTCTGGAGTTATGTCTTTGACACGGGAACCTTTTTAAAGCCCAGCACCAGATCAGCTAGCTCTGCGCCCCCCCCTCCCCATTGGTCTTCAGTACGGTCACACTGATCCCGATATCAATTATTTGGGCGAGTACCTGTACTGGCCCAAATGCTCCTGTTACTGGAACTTCCGTTATCAGGAAGCCAGACAGCAAGATATTACACGCCGCCCAGCTTCATTGGCCGGGAAGGCTCCATACTCCCTCGTCACTTAGTATAATGACTCGCCGCTCGGCTTCCTGATTGGTCGGGAAGCTGGCCAGTCAGGAAGTTGGACGGTGAGTCATTTCACCCCCCCGCCAGTATTGCCAGAAAGCCGGCTCTACGCTTTCTCGTCACCTGGTGATGAGGGAGTATGAAGATGGCTTCCCGGCTAATCAAGAAGCTGGGCAGCGAGTCATTACATGCTGCCCGGATTCCTTAATGGGACCTCTGATATTGGTGTTCGGTATCGGCGAGTGGCGAAAAAAAAATAATCAGTACTCTATAATAAAAAACCGGTATCGGTGCATCCCTACCCGTGATTGGTAAGAGCTGTACTCTAGTAAATGTGTATGATTCTTTATCTTGTGGCTTGTCCATTGTACAGTTCTGCTTCTGCTTCATCATCCAGGTCAGCATGGCTGCGTCACGGTCATTAATAATTTTTTCCCGCGGGAGAAGTTGGATTATTACACCAAACCTCAAGGACTCAGCAAAGAACCAAAGTTACCGGTGAAATTAGCCGGGCCTCTGCACAAGATTATCACAACGACGAACCTCCATCCTGTCAAGGTAGTCCTAATCCCGCTTCTTATGTGTACAGACGTGTTTGTTCCATCTGTTTTTATGTCGCACCGATACTTGGACAGAGAAGCGCGTGTAGAACACACTTGAAATGAGTCTTGAGTTTTGATACATTGTAACACAACGCTGTAGAAATGCACCAAAAACCCATTATGCACACACTTCTAAAGCGAGGTATAAATGGGCACATAAACCCCAAATGGATGACATGTCGGGTTTGTGTGCAGGTCAGCAGATTCTTGTTAACCTGAATCTAATGGCTCAGATGACGAGTTTGTGTTTAAAGGAGAACTATGAGGTCAGGGCTTTTCCCCATAGTTCTCCCAAGGGTAACGGGAGGGGACAAACTAGGGTCCTCCCGTCACCCAAAGCTCAGTAGCTCGCGGTATACTGAGACGCCGGAACGGATCCCCACAATACTGTCTGGATCCACGCAGCTGCGGGATTGGCAGAGCCAGCTGTACCAGCCCCTCCCCTGTCCGTTCCGCCAGTCAGCGCTGGAGGATCGGACAGGGGAGGCGGGGAATCCCTGCAGGGAACAATTTTCTGCGCGGGAAGTGGTGCAATATCTGACAGAAGTGCAGGGGTGCCAATATTTGTGGCCATGACTGTAACTGCTATTCTATACATAAGCCGGCTTTCCTTTACTATGCAGTGCAAATAACACAATATAGATAGCCGTCCATGTGGAGTCCCAGTACATATAAAAAGCAAATGGTCATGAAAAGGTTTTGCGATGCACAAAGTTGCGGAACATCCGGTGACGGGGGAAGGTGGAAAACGAGACCCCATTTCAGGGAACGGGTCCCCTTTCTCAAGTCAGATCCCACATTTTTAAGCTTTGGAAGTCTCATCACATTAACATTTAAATTTGAGGCATCTGACTTTTTCAATTGTATGTAAATTGGCAAAAATGAAAGGAACCTTTTGTCTTTCTTTCCAGATAATTTTCCTGATTAAGGAGAACCCGCTGCTGTTGGATCAGGAAGCTCTGAAGAAATGCAGCACAGTGTTGGATCTGATCTGTGAGAAGTGTATGAAACAGAGGGACATGAATGAGGTCTTGGCCATGAAGATGCATTACATCAGCTGTATATTGCAGAAGTGTACCACTTTCCTGCAGGAGGGGGAAGACAAGCTGGATGCTCTCATTAAAAGGTAAGAACCCAATGACATTCCTTAAAGGAGAACTATGGGGTTAAGGCTTTTCCCCATAGTTCTCCTTAGGGTAACAGGAGGACTCAGATTCTTGTTAACCTGAATCTAATGGCTCAGATGACGAGTTTGTGTTTAAAGGAGAACTATGAGGTCAGGGCTTTTCCCCATAGTTCTCCCAAGGGTAACGGGAGGGGACAAACTAGGGTCCTCCCGTCACCCAAAGCTCAGTAGCTCGCGGTATACTGAGACGCCGGAACGGATCCCCACAATACTGTCTGGATCCACGCAGCTGCGGGATTGGCAGAGCCAGCTGTACCAGCCCCTCCCCTGTCCGTTCCGCCAGTCAGCGCTGGAGGATCGGACAGGGGAGGCGGGGAATCCCTGCAGGGAACAATTTTCTGCGCGGGAAGTGGTGCAATATCTGACAGAAGTGCAGGGGTGCCAATATTTGTGGCCATGACTGTAACTGCTATTCTATACATAAGCCGGCTTTCCTTTACTATGCAGTGCAAATAACACAATATAGATAGCCGTCCATGTGGAGTCCCAGTACATATAAAAAGCAAATGGTCATGAAAAGGTTTTGCGATGCACAAAGTTGCGGAACATCCGGTGACGGGGGAAGGTGGAAAACGAGACCCCATTTCAGGGAACGGGTCCCCTTTCTCAAGTCAGATCCCACATTTTTAAGCTTTGGAAGTCTCATCACATTAACATTTAAATTTGAGGCATCTGACTTTTTCAATTGTATGTAAATTGGCAAAAATGAAAGGAACCTTTTGTCTTTCTTTCCAGATAATTTTCCTGATTAAGGAGAACCCGCTGCTGTTGGATCAGGAAGCTCTGAAGAAATGCAGCACAGTGTTGGATCTGATCTGTGAGAAGTGTATGAAACAGAGGGACATGAATGAGGTCTTGGCCATGAAGATGCATTACATCAGCTGTATATTGCAGAAGTGTACCACTTTCCTGCAGGAGGGGGAAGACAAGCTGGATGCTCTCATTAAAAGGTAAGAACCCAATGACATTCCTTAAAGGAGAACTATGGGGTTAAGGCTTTTCCCCATAGTTCTCCTTAGGGTAACAGGAGGACACAAACTAGCGCCCTCCCGTCACCCTAGGCTCAGTGTACCGTGAGCTGCAGCTCGCGGTATACTGAGACGCTGCAGCTGAAGCGGATCCCGACAATTGTGCCGAGATCATCCCAGCTGCGTGACTGACAGCTGGCTCTGCCTATCTAGAGGCTGAGCCCGCCCCCTCCCCCGTCCGTTCCGCTAATCAGCTCTGGAGGATGGGACAGGGAAGGGGGCAATCCCTGCAGCGAAGGTATGTGTTCGCTCACTTCCGGATCTACTGAGCTGACCTGTGACGGTTTCATTGTCGGCTCAGATTATGAGGCTGAGTGAAAATCACTTGCCTCATAGTTCTCCTTTTTAAATATCAAAGGTTTACTGAATATAACCAACTACGGGATGATGGATCTTGTCTACATATTGACTGATCTAGACGGCTCTAAGCTATAGAAGACGGCGGACATTAATCCCCACTCTCAGCTCTATGGAGGTAATACACTCAAATCCTTTCAACAGTTCCAGATGGAGTTTTCGCTTCCAGGTGAACAAAAACAAACTGACCTCACAGTTTAATTGAACTCCACTGCAAGGGTTAATAACAGTTTTGCCCGGAGTTCCTCTTTAATAATGCATGTGAATACTTGTTTGTCGTCCCAGTTTATTGAAGGGTCGGGACGGTGACTGCTTTCCGGTTTTCCAAGAAAAGTTCATCCGAGAAAGTATCCGGAAGTTCCCATTTTGTGAGGCCACGCTCCTGCAGCAGCTGGTCCGAAGTATCGCTCCGGTGGAAATGGTAAGAGGCGGATTTCTTGTTATCACAGCAGACGTATCAATGTGCTAGAGCAGTGATCCTCAACCTGTGTAACCTCGGGACCCACATTTGTCCTTGGCCATTAAGGACCAAAAAAGCATCCTAATGTATCCCTATGCTATTTCTGACCTCTGTTCACACCTGCGCAGTCCGTTTCAGACCAGAAAAATACTGCAGGTCTCATTTTGTCTGGTCTGGAATGCCCTGGAACACATGGAAACGCATAATAAAAAATGCATCCTAATGTATCCCTATGTTATTTCTGCATGCAAAAGCACTGGAACGCACCTGAAAGTCCATTTTAGCTAAAAAATAAAAAAAACACTCTGGAAGGCGGTAAAAACAAAGCAAAATGCAATGCACTGCGTTCCAGATCTGGTCTGGAAAATGGAGTGAACCTGGCCGCCTAGCCAAGCATCTAGCACTTTCAGCATGAGATGAGTAATAGCAACTGCGTCTCTCATTATAGGTATCCTTAACCTATTACCACCCACAGTCTATAGATTTAACGTTCCCCCTGTGTGATGCACCGTGCCAAGGATACATTAAAGGAGAAGTATGAGCTGAGTGCTTCTCACTCACCTCCTAGTTCTAGCCGACCTGTGAAAATGAGACTGTCACAGGTCGGCTCAGTAGATCGGAAGGTGAGCGAACACATGCCGGCATTCGCTCACCTCTCGATCCTGTCACAGCTCTCTGCCGTGACAGGGGAGGGGCTGGATTCCCCCCTCCCCGATCCGCCAGCGCTGACTGGCGGAACGGACGGGGGAGGGGGCGGGTACAGCTGGCTCTGCCTCTAGATAGGCAGAGCCAGCTGTCAGTCACACAGCTGGGCGGATCCAGACATAATTGTCGGGATCCGCTTCAGCTGCGGCGTCTCTGTATACCGCGAGCAGCAGCTCGCGGTATGCTGAGCCTAGGATGACGGGAGGACGTTTGTTTGTGTCCTCCCGTTACCCTAAGGAGAACTATGGGGAAAAACCTTAACCTCATTGTTCTCCTTTTTTAATCTACATTGTCTCTTTTGACGTCTACGGTCACCACTAACCATCGGAATCCAATCAGAGTGGTTCTTGTTTATGTGATCTCTATAACATGATAACCACATGCCAGGGAGGTTTGATTCACAAAACAGGCCTGCACATTTCCCTTCTGCCTGAAGATGGCAGTGTGCCTCTTTTTTTTTTTTTATACTGTAATTGTGCAATATAATAACGGTAATATATATAGTGTGTGTATATGCATGCAAAGACTTAGTCACGTCAGCTGACAGCTAAATTTGGCCTAGGCTTCAACAACATCTGGACATGAATGGGTTAAGGGTTCTCAAACGAAGTTTTAGCTGGGGATTGAGTGGGAACAACCCACGCTGTATTCCCGAGCGTGGCTCGGGGTTACTGCTTTGTTAAAATACAAAACACAAAAATTCCCCAGCCTCAACCTGCCAGCCAGCCTGCAACCAAACAAGTAGCCCTGTCAACAGTATGCGTTAAAATCAGAGGTTTTAGTTGCACAAACTTTTAGCCACACTGCCGCGCCAAGGCACCTCTGCAAAGTGTGGTCCTAACTCTATGTATCCGAGTCTCCAAGTGTGAGCATATTAATGCAGTCGATAAATTGCATGTAGGTGTACCTGGAGGTAGCCAACTCCTCCTAATAAGGTGCAGGGACGCACTAGGGGCCCAGCAACCAAAAATGCACGCTGGGACTCCAGTGCATCCCCCAAACCAAAAATAGTCAACTAGAAAAAATGGTACATGCATGAATCTATAACTACAAATTACTAAATTACTGCTTTGTTAACCCCGATCCATACTCGGGAATACCAATGATTACGCGCTGAAATCCGCCCCAAAGAAGCTCAAGTACTATTTTGGGCGTAGGGCGTCTTTCAGCGTGTCAAAACGCGCTAAAATACGCCCGGGTGGGAACCATACCCATAGGAGTTAATAGGATTTCACTGCGTGAGCGTTTTTCAGCACTTCGATCAGTGCTGAAAAACGCCCAGGTGTGAACCCAGCCTTAAAGGAGAACTATGGGGTCAGGGCTTTTCCCCATAGTTCTCCTTAGGGTAACAGGAGGACACAAACTAGCGTCCTCCCGTCACCCTAAGCTCAGTATACCGCGAGCTACAGCTCGCGGTATACTGTGACGCCGCAGCTGAAGCGGATCCCGACAATTATGTCTGGATCCGCCCAGCTGCGTGAGTGACAGCTGACTCTGCCTATCTAGAGGCAGAGCCAGCTGTACCCGCTCGCCGCAGCTGAAGCGGATCCCGACAATTATGTCTGGATCCGCCCAGCTGCGTGTCTGACAGCTGGCTCTGTCTATCTAAAGGCAGAGCCAGCTGTACCCGCCCCCTCCCCCGTCCGTTCCGCCAGTCAGTGCTGGCGGATCGGAGCGGGGAGGGAGGAATCCAGCCCCTCCCCTGTCACGGCAGAGAGCCGTGACAGGATCGAGAGGTGAGCGAACGCCAGTATATGTTCGCTCACCTCCCGATCTACTGAGCCGACCTGTGACAGTCTCATTGTCACAGGTCGGCTAGAACTATGAGGTGAGTGAAAATCACTCGCCTCATAGTTCTCCTTTTTAATGTACCAAGTGACAAAACCAAGCAATTACAACATAGAACAAGAATTCTTTATTCTACAAAAGTAAAAAATATTTAAAAAAAAACATAATTGTTACCATTTTGCTATATTAGGGGTGTGGTACATTATATTCCGGATCTGGTCACGATCCTTTGATTTGTGTGTGTGTTTTCTTTGTAGCTGGACACAGATTAGATACTGTAAGTGGCTACAATACTTGGCAGCTAGAAGTCGCTGGTGTGCCATGGTCATTAGCCGCTGCATTGGGTAACCTTAGGCCCCTTTCAGACGGGCTTTCCGATCAGGTTCACCTGTCAGTTTTTCAGGTGGACCTGATCGGAAGCTTGATGCTAGTGTATGGGCAGCCGGATCTAAACAGATGGGCATCCATGTAGATCCGGTTCCCCCGGCTCCGACCAGGTTTGGAAAAACAAATGGATCAGAGATCCATTTTGCAAGACCTGATCAAGCTGGATCGGGGGTAACCGAATGTAGACACACCTGTCTATTTGTAACTGAGATGTATATATTTCCTATGATCCTCAGTGCCATCTAGTGGCCATAATACGGTATTTTCCTGATTCCCACTATGAATTCAATTATTGTTCTACTGCCTGTAATATTTGAAGAACATTGGACCAGAAGAGAAAATTGGTTAATTTTCATAGAGCAAATGTACGTGATGTTTCGATAAACCAAGTTTCTTTATAAAGAGACCCACCATTATGTCTCTACTCCAATATAACCAGCTTACCTGCCAGCTTTCAGACTTGTCTAGTAATGTCGTGCTACACTGGCCAGTCATGATGGTCAAAGACCCAAAGCCCTGGAAGAGGCCAGATTTTAGCATATGGACATTTTAATATCTGTAATGTGGTTGGTGTTTCATTATGCGTTTGTTTTTCAGGGCTCGGACCCGACGGCCTTCTCTGTGCTCACTCAGGCCATTACGGGCCAGGTGGGCTTCGTGGACGCAGAGTTCTGTACGGCATGCGGAGAGAAGGGAGCTGATAAGAGGTGCTCCGTGTGTAAGCTGGTGAGTGTGGGTCCCTTTTGTACAAACCCAAATCTCAGCAGGGGGACTATTGGGGTCCCTTAGTGTCATGTCCTCCTTTTCTAATCTGGGCCTGAAATAAGGTCTGTAATATAAATGGAAAGGGTTTTTTAAAATGTCATTATAATGCTGATGATGGTGGGAGGGGAGAAAGCAGGGAAGGCAAAACATAAGCAGAATGAAGCCGGCTATACACTGTGGGTGTGGTCACTGAGGGGTGTGGTCACTGAGGGGCGCTGTAAAGCTTTCTCGCACAGGGCGCCTAAAGGCCTAAGGCCGGCCCTGACTGTTCTATTTTTATTCATTCAACCCACGGGTTGAATGGGGAAAAAAAAAAAAGATCCAGCCAGCTCCTTCGAGGGATACCGGACAGAAGGGTGCTTTTCACTCATGTCAGTCATGCAGCTGGGCGGATCCAGACATAATTGTCGGTAAACGCTTCAGCTGCGGCATCTCAGTATACCGCGAGCTACATCTCGCGGTATACTGAGCTTAGGGTGACCTAACGTGTCCTCCCGTTACCCTTAGGAGAACTGTGGGGAAAAGCCCTGACCCCATAGTTCTCCTTTTAATTTTCAGTACCATAAGCGGTAACCCCGAGCCACACTCGGGATTGCACAAAAGTGTCACTTACCTTGTCCCTGCGAGCCTGCGGTGTCCTCTGCTGTGTGCGCCCGGCTGATGCCGGCATTCGGCTTTTAGTTTAGTTTTTGGTAGTCACAGCAGGGGGCGGAGCCGGCGGGAAATTCCAAAGTGAAAACATGCAATATACACAGAATACGCAGAATACAATGTAATCTGCTATAATTACATTTATGTATCAAACCATTTCACCTCAATGTTGTCCCTAGAGCTTTGCCCCGTGCCCTGCCTGCACTTTTACTGTTCTTTCTGCCTGGAAACTTGAGAACGTCCATGGCATCCAAAAAGCGTCCCTTTAGCTCAAAAGCGGTTTTAGACCAGGTAGAAAACAGCGATAGTGAATTAGAATCACTTGCAGAATTGAGCGACAGCGATTCGTTGGGAAATTCGTCATCAGACACCGAAAGTGACGATTCTGCGACCGAGCTCAGTGATGTGCGAACTTGGTACTCTATTGACTGTGGTACAGATCAGGCAGCGCCCCCAGAATTCCCATTTACTGGACCATTTTTTTTAAATTATTATATTATAATTTTATGATTTCGTGTTTCAAACGTTATCATACCTGGGATGTCTACTGGACTCTTGTTTGGACAGATTTAGGTGAGTTATTCCTAAGATTTAGGCTTCATTCACACTGCCGCGCATATACGTGCGTATTGTACCATATGCAACATATGCAAATAAATGGCTCCATACACATAGCCGCTATGGAGCCGTATATTTGCGTAGCGTATATATGCGCAAAAACAGAATGGAATAGAGATGCGCCCGGGCAGTGTATTTCTGCGCATTTACGTGCATATACACCTGTACATGGGTACAGCACATTTAAAAATTCCATTACGAGTGATGCATTCTGGGTTTGCATATAGTGCACGCATATATGCTTGTATATACACGCACAAACACTCGTATAGACGCTCGTATATACACGCATAGACGCTATTGCCAGCAAAGAATATTAAGATCCCTTGTGTGCGTGCTATAGTGGTCAAGCAGTTTGTGCCCCCCATTTCCTGATCCGGAATATGGAATAATTTTAACAAGGCTGCATTCATGAAATGTATTGTAAACATGGCTGTGTGTTTCAGGTGATTTATTGTGACCAGGACTGTCAGAAGTTGCACTGGTTCACCCACAAGAAGGTCTGCAAGATGCTGAAGGAGAAGAGAGAGAAGCAGGAGCTGGAAGCTGCCAAAGAGCAGAAAAGGCAGGAAAACTTGTCGGAGAAAGGTCAGTGATTGGTCGGTAATCTTTGACAATGGTCACCGGGACAAATGGAGAAAGTGAATCTACCAAGTTCTCATGCGTTACAAACAGCCGATGTTTTTTTAGGGAGTTTCCAAGTTCAAAGCTTTGTGCTGAACGACGGCGGAGCTTTGCAGGAAAGCTACAGGTTGGTCGCAGGGACGTGTCCCCTGTGCTTTGGCATGTGATGACAAGTGACACCGGATCACATGACCAAGTAGAGGGCACCCATGCAGAAATGCTCCTGTGCTCAGCCTGTAGCCTCCCTGCACAGCTCAGCCCTCTGCTTTATGGGGACTCCATTGTGCATGCTGTGTCATACTATATTACATGTATGGGTTTGTACATTAGCACATGGAAGGAGACCTATTTTGCTACCAGGGGAGTTTCTTTACTTTTTTTGCTGCTGGGGGCGGGCGGGGGGAGAGTGTGCCGGTGGCGCACATTATAGGGAAAGGAGTGGGTTGGGGGGGATTGTGCCGGTAGTGCACATTATAGGGAAAGGAGTGGGTTGGTTAGGGGGTGGTATGGAGAAGGGTGCTGGTGGTGCACATTACCTTTTGGCTCCGGCTGGCGTCCCACTCAGCTCACAGATATCACTGGTTGCCAAGAGCTTGGTAGGACGCTCTGGCCGAGATGCCAGCCAGAGTGACACGGGTTGCTCTTGGCAACCTGGGACACTCTGGCCAGAAAGGAGGCAGCAAGCACACTTGTCAGTGATGCACAGTGATTTAGCAAACCAAATTTAGGGCTTAGATCTGATTAACAAAATTTAAAAGTGATAAGTTCCACTAATATGCCCCCCACCCCCAAAATGCTAACAAATTGCAAAATAAAATGTGTGGGGGAGAAGGGGACTAGATATCCTGCACTTTTTTTTTTTTTTGGGGCTTCCTCCTGCAGTGCCTAGGCGAAGGTGACGCTATCCTCCTTCCGGTCAGATCTTGGAGAATGTTGAATAGCCCAGATCTCTCCCAGGAAGATGATTCTGCACTGTGCTGCATTGTCAAATAAGATTTGGGCTACTCGGCATTCCCAGGTATCTTGTCGGCAGGAGGCTAACATCACCCTCTGCACTAATCAGGGAAAGGGGAGTATACTATCTATTCCCCACCAACAGGTTCTTTATTGCACTTTTATGCAGCGTTTAGGAAAGGGGGGAGCACAGTAAGTATGCAGACCTTGCTTAAGTTCACTTTAACTTTTACGCCCTAAAACATCAGGGGTCCTCACGGCCCCCTCCTCGTATTACCAGCATGGAGGTGCGCTGGATGCAACACCAGCAGTGTTCAATAATTCTCCGTACTTCTCTGTTACACGACGTTATTTCTCAGTGCCAGGCAGAGGGGAGGGGGGAGGGGGGGCAGGCGGGCGATTGTCTGATGAGCCTTTGTAGTGCTTTCTGTCATTCTTTTGTAGAGCCGGGAATAGAGACTCGCAGTCATCCGCACATTATTATACTCTCCATTTAACAACAAAGCGTTCGCTATAATTGCGCTACCTGCAGGGTGATCATCCTACGGGATTCTGCCACAAAGCTCGCTCTGTTCTATCTGAAAGCTTTCATTCTGTGAAGTTTTCTCTGCCTGGGAGATCGGCGCAGGGATTTTTTTAATATATTGTCTGTTCATTAAATGGAATTTAATTATAGGGAAAAGCCAGTGTGCTTTTAGTCAGCACATAAATACATAAAAAAAAATATATATGCACACACACACACTCTTTTATTGTAATGTTTATTTTAAAGCCAATCTCCAGGGATATTGAATCCCTCTCTTTCACTCATTCACAAATGAAAAAGATCCTCCAAATTAGTGGCCATAATGTGCTGTGAATCTTGTTTGCCATGCGAATGGTTTATAAGACCTGCAAAGCCCTTTTTATTACTCGTCTGAGTGAACACTGCTGACCCACGCCCGCATTGTGTGCCTTCCAATGACTGGACTTGTTGCTGCCCCTTATCGGGATGTCATTACACAGTCAATGGAGTCTTGAGGACCCCGCTGATGAGCAACCAATGCGAAGTTTCACGTCACCATCTACGTGACCACCCAAAGAAAAGCCTTCCTACTTTGCAGTCGAGAAAAAATACTTGGCGTCCGGCATGACCACAAATTTAGGTCAGTAGAAAGTTGAATTTCCTATGTTCCTCGGCTCGATCTATTGGTCATAATGTGCTGTGAACCTCGTTTGCATAATGTTCGCTATGCGAACGGCTTAGAAGTCCTCCAAAGCCCTTTTTTACGCTCTTGAATCTACCTTCATGTGACCCTCCATGGTTCCTCTTTGGGAGTGAACACTGCTGACCCACGCCTGCAGCCTAGGCCCACCATGACTGTACTTGTTGCTGCCTCTTATCTTGATGTCATTACGCCTCCGCTGGAATCTTAAGGACCATGTGAGGACCCCTGATGGAGGACCAGTGGGAAGTGTCCACATCACCAGCTACATGAGCACTTAAAGAAAGGCCTTCCCCCTTTTTGCAGTCCAGAACACAGAAGACTTGGAGCCCGGCATGACCACAAATTTAGGTAAGTAGAAAGTGGAGTTTCCTATGCTGCTCGGCTCCATCTAGTGGCCGCAATGTGCTGTGAATCTTGTTTGCATAGCTGTTCACTATGTGATCGGTCTATAAATCACCTCCATAGGATTTTCTTTTATTCAGTCAGACCTGACTGGTAGACCTATCACTGAAAAAAATAACCAATGAAGCTCAGTTACTGTGCAGCATTATTAAAGGAGAACTATGAGGTGAGTGCTTTTCACTCACCTCATAGTTCTAGCCGACCTGTGACAATGAGACTGTCACACGTCAGCTCAGTAGATCGGGAGGTGTGCGAACACATACCGGCGTTCCCTCACTTCTCGATCCTGTCACGGCAGGAGAGCGGCAGGAGTGGCTGGATTCCCCCCTCCCCGCTCCAATCCACCAGCGCTGACTGACGGAACGGACGGGGAAGGGGGCGGGTACAGCTGGCTCTGCCTCTAGATAGGCAGAGCAAGCTGTCAGTCACGCAGCTGGGTGGATCCTGGCACAATTGTCGGGATCCGTTTCAGTTGCGGCGTCTCAGTATACGGCGAGCTACAGCTGGCGGTATACTGAGCCTAGGGTGACGGGAGGACGCTAGTTTATGTCCTACCGTTACCCTAAGTAGAACTATGGGGAAAAGCCTTAACCCCATAGTTCTCCTTTTTAAGCAGAAAGTTCAACTTTACAGCCTCAACTGTGACATGTGATGGAGGAGGGGCAGTGGCCAGGATAGGAATAAAACGTCTTGTTTTTCTACTTCCTGATAAAAGCTTTGGGTCGTGAAAGGTAAATTTATTTTACAGAAATGTTTGTTTTATTATTTATGTTCCCTATGAATGTAATTGGGTATAATGTATTCTGGTGCTTGGGAGCGCTTTTCTTTAATTGGATATGACATTTCTGTATTGTCTCCCAGAAGCGAAAGCCACAGAGTTGAGCTCAGCGAAGGAAGGAGAAGAGGAAAAACCCAAAGAAAGTGAAGACTTAGTGACCTCGGAGAGTTCTGTCGCAGCAGAAGAAGCTGACGTCTCTGCGACTACAGAAGAGCCCTCCGCGGATACCACCACTGATACCAATGTGTCACCAACACCTGATGGGTCAGAGAACTGAGGAGCCTCGGAAGGCTTCCAGACTGAATACTCGAGGCGAGACCCCAAGGTGCACCAGCTGCTGCAGACCTTCAAATTCCAGCTGGCCGGACGACCTGTCCATGAGGTTTGAGATTTCATCACAGTTGGTGGCCAAGAAGGATCCCAGATCTGTTGTAGGAGCCAACATGCCGGAGGTCCCAATCCCTACTGCGCTCAGTCACTCCAAGCTTTGGCTTCTCACACATTGTCAACAGTCCTGAAAATATTTAAAATAAAAGTAGACGCAGTTTTGCAAAAAAACAAAAAGCAACGCTTCTATATAAAACAAAAAAAAATTTCC